AGACAAATTGATTACATTTGGTGGACCTAATAGTGGCATATATGGCATTCCTGACTGCAATCATTTGATTTCTAACAATAATCTAATAAAGTTTGGCTGCAATCTATTGCAATCAACGCTGGCCTCAGACTCGGGCCCCTCTGTCTATGATGTGTTTGTTTATGGTTTGTCAGACGTGTTATCATTTTCCTCGTATTGGAATTCACCCGCAAATCCCATACAAAAGACAACATTTCTATCCAATATTAATAATGAGAACTCAAATGAAAATAATAGAAAATATTTATCAGAAAAACTAAAGGGTTTGGTTATCATATCATTTGAAAATGAGTCCATTGTTTTGCCTCCAATTAGTACCTCATTTGGTTATTGGGATACAAAAGCAGTTACTTTAATACCTTATTCTCAAACTAATTTATATAAAAATGATTTAATAGGTTTGAAAACATTAGATGAGAATAAACTAGTTGTTTTTAAAACGATAGCCAATTCTTCGCATATGAATATTCCCTTTAATTTTATAAAGAATGAATTTTTAGATTATATTTAATAGATTTTATTAATGAAATTGCTTGACGTCTATATTTTTAATATAATGTGATCTAATATTTTAAAAAAATATTTTTTTAATGTTTAGAATTTTGTAAGCATTTATTAATTTAATGTATAATTCAGTTTATCTAATTAGTAATTACTAATTAGTAAATATTAACATTATTAATGTAATACAAAATGCTCTAATTATATCAGATTTTGTAAATAATAAAAAGTAAATATAAAAAAGATTATTATTATTCAAACTAATAAAAAGACTCGATTTCAACCCAACCGTTAGGATATTGTCTTATTAAATATCGTCTCATTTCATCAAAAACAATCATTAATACAGCAAAAGGTATGGAACAGAACCACCAAAAGAATCTATAAAAGACACCATTTTTTGTTAATATATGTGCTGTCTTATCATATCATATGTCAATTGTATTTCTCACTTTAGAGGATATAAATACATTCCTTTGTCCAGACCGGGACAATAGGACAAAAACACGGCTAAACCCAACTCGAAAAACAATGAAAACGTCAAAACATCGTTTCTGTTAATAACAATGTTTAAGTTTTAATGATTTTAAACTTTTTTGTTGAAAATTATGTAATTTACGTCATTTTTTGTCTTAAAATAGATATTCTTCTAGTTTTACAGCAGATAAGTGCTGACCATTTGGTGATTACAACGGATGCAAAGAATGATGTGTGACAGGTATATTCCAATGTCTTTCGATCATTATAAGTCTATATAAGTAAAAACATACATTACTCTATTCCTACTAATAATAAGTTTAATAACAAACAAGATGTGTATCTATTATGTCTGCAATTGTAACATAAATCTTAAGCTAATTGCAACCATAAATTCAAAACACACCCATTCCTGTCCATAAGAGTCCATCAGATCGTTGACACCAATTGAATCCCAATACTTTCTTAGGCCAAACAGATAACTCAAATTAAATCCATTTTCAATCATAATTATAGCGTAAGAGAGAGATAGACTTAAGAAGTTTGTTAACTTTGTTTTCTATACAAAATACAAAAAATCGTGAAACAAAAACATTGAATATTGAAAACATGTTCAATAATTTATTCGACAATTTTGTTAACTCACTCTCAAATTGAGTTTTATTTATCAATGTTTTCTTTAAACGCCCAAATTATTTTCATTTAATTTTGTATTTTTACCAAAAAAATTACACAATTATTTTGTAATTATACGGAAGCGGTAATGATGTGTAGATTTGTGAAATATGTACAAACAATTTATTACATAAAAATATTACAGAATCTAATAAATCATTTCGAGTCTATTGTCGATAACTGGAAGGGATATCAAAATAGAAGAATGGACTCAAAGTTTAATGAAAAACGGAAACAAGAATTGGAGAAAATGAGCCGAGAAATGGAAATCGATGACCACATCATCTCCTTATCAAAGTTGTGCAATAAGTTTAACACTCATTCAATAAATGTATGTAATGTTAAAAATACAAAATTGCATATAAATAATGTAAATCAATTTTGTAATTATGTTATTTTTAAAAATAAATAATCAACTTAAGGGCTTAAATCCAGTGACAGCCAAACAATTGTTGTCAACTTGTGGTCCAAATATTGTCACCACAAAAATAGCGACTGGAGAGTGGATCAGATTAATGAAAAACGTATTCCATTGGTTTAACAGCCTTTTATGGATCGGATCTCTTCTGTGTTTCATAACATATATCACAGAAAGTATAAGTGCTTCCGAAGATCCGGTTCCTGATAATGTGAGTTAAGTGTGATGTTAACTGTAAATTGGTTTATGATCATATGTATTAATAATAAGTTGAACACTTTGTAAACCCTTTGGACAGTTATATTTAGGTTGTGTTTTGGCCGGTTGTGTGTTAATATCTAGCAGTTTTAGTTATTATCAAGAGGCAAAGAGCGCCAATATATTTGTGACATTTCGAGAACTCATACCCAGATATGTGACAGTGATTAGGGCCGCATCTAAACTGAGATGTCCTGCAACTGAGTTAGTGGTCGGAGATCTCATTGAGATTACGGCCGGAGACAAAGTTCCCGCAGACATACGAATAATCAAATCTCACGAATTGAAATGTGTTAACCATTTACTAACCGGTAATTACGAGTCGTTTGTGCGCTCAGACAAGTGCTCGAATACAAACCCTTTTTCAACAGAAAATCTTGTTTTCTTCTCAACTAATTGTGTCGAAGGTTTGAATGACTAGTATTAATGTATTCATTGTTTTAGTATCAAACTTGTTATCATATGCAGGAACTGGTCTGGGAATTGTCATAAGAACTGGTAACCAAACTTTAATGTCAGGCCTGTTGTCTCATTTTTACAAAACTCATACATCGAAAAAATTATCCAAAAGTCTACTCGACAAACACATTGAAGTATTTATTCGTATCATAACAGCCGTCTCTCTAGTCTTTAGTTTACTTCTGTCGAGTATAGCAATTCATTGTACCAAATATGCACTCAATTAATAAAGAATTTATTATTTAGTTACTTCATATATGATTGGCTATTCATGGCTGAGTGCCATCATATTTATGATCGCTTTATTTGTGGCCCAAATACCTGAGGGCTTATTTCCGACGCTAACAGTCCTCTTGAGTTTAGCCGCAAAAAGAATGACTTCAAAGAATTGTTTGGTTACTAATTTTGAAACCGTTGAGACATTAGGTCTGACATCTATTATAGTCACAAATAAAACGGGAATTATAACACAGAATCGTATGGTTGTATCGCATATAAGAGAATGACTTCAAAGAATTGTTTGGTTACTAATTTTGAAACCGTTGAGACATTAGGTCTGACATCTATTATAGTCACAAATAAAACGGGAATTATAACACAGAATCGTATGGTTGTATCGCATATTTGGGCCAATAATTCAATTATTGATTCAGAAAACTTTTACAGACATTCAGATGGTATTTAATTTGCAATATCTAAACTTTTATACAAAATAATGTGGAATATATGCCATTGAGTATAATATCGTTGAACGTATCCAAAGGCAGAACAGAAGACTTAGGGTCTGTGGCGCTCAAAGCATTCATCAGAATCGGTTGTCTTTGCAATGCGGCTGAATTTAGTGCAGCGCAGGCACGCCTTTCACCACTCAAACGGTTGGCTTTTATGCATTTTTACTAAACGTCTGATTATTTGATTTAATTTACATTAGAGAAGCGATCGGCAATTCAACAGATGTGGCAATACTTAAATATATGGAAGTGATTGTTGGCTGTGTTGAAGGTTATCGTCTCAATTATCCCAAAGTTTTACACATTAAGAGAATGACTTCAAAGAATTGTTTGGTTACTAATTTTGAAACCGTTGAGACATTAGGTCTGACATCTATTATAGTCACAAATAAAACGGGAATTATAACACAGAATCGTATGGTTGTATCGCATATGTGGGCCAATAATTCAATTATTGATTCAGAAAACTTTTACAGACATTCAGATGGTATTTAATTTCCGAAATCTAAACTTTTATAAAAAAAATTGTGTGGAATGTATGCCAAAGAGTATAATATTGTTGAACGTATCCAAAGGCAGAACAGAAGACTTAGGGTCTGTGGCGCTCAAAGCATTTATCAGAATCGGTTGTCTTTGCAATGCGGCTGAATTTAGTGCAGCGCAGGCACGCCTTTCACCACTCAAACGGTTGGCTTTTATGCATTTTTATTAAACATCTAATCATTTGATTTAATTTACATTAGAGAAGCGATCGGCAATTCAACAGATGTGGCAATACTTAAATATATGGAAGTGATTGTTGGCTGTGTTGAAGGTTATCGTCTCAATTATCCCAAAGTTTTACACATTCCGTTCAATTCAAATGCGAGGCATTCGTTAACAATAAATAGATTTAGTAAAGGGTTTTGGTTATGTATGAAAGGAGAGCCCGAACTTATAATTGATAAATGCTCGTCCATTCTTACAATGGATAGAGTTATACCATTTGATAACGAATACAAAATATATTTCAAACAAATTCTTGACGAATTGGGAAGTTTTGGAGAGCGAGTCATTGGTTTGTTATATCTGTCATTAAATTTAGATTAAACTACCTTTTATAACTAACTTTAATAATTAATAGCGTTTTGCGATCAATATCTACCATATACTGAATATCCAGTGCATTATTCTTTTAATTCTGGACTTAAGAATTATCCAACTAATGGATTAAGATTTGTGGGTTTGATATCGCTTTTAAACCCGCCGCGAGCGTCAGTTCCAGAAGCTGTCCACAAATGTAAAAGCGCTGGTATAAAGATAGTAATGGTTACCGGAGATCATGCCATCACTGCGAAAGCCATCGCCAGTGCCGTCGGTATAATTTCTGATAACAAACAAACGACTTCTAAAATTGCAAAAAGTGTTTACAAACATAAGGATATTAAAAGGTCTGAAAACAATTACAACATTAAATAATACATTAAAAAATTGTACAATAGATTATTAAAATCATCGGTAATTGCTGGAAAAGATGTTCAAGATCTTAGTGATAGAGAGTTGTGTCAATTGGTAAAAAGTAATGACAATTTAGTGTTTGCGAGAATAAACCCAAAACAAAAGTCGCGAGTAATTAATTGTCTGAAAAGCAAGAAATCGGTGATTGCGGTGACGCGAGACGGCGTTCACGGCTCAACACTTGTTGAAAACGCCGACATTAATATAGCGATGGGAATCACTGGCACTGATATCAGTAAACAGTCAGCAGATGTTATACTTCTTGACGACGATTTCGCGTCGATTGTCTCCGGCATAGAAGAAGGAAGAGTTATATTTGATAATCTCAAGAAATCTATTTGTTATACTCTTTCGTCTAAAACTCCAATAATATGTCCGTTTCTTTTGTATTTATTGGCAGACATTCCCTTACCTTTGGGTTCGATCACAATATTATGTATAGATTTAATTTGTGATATGATTCCTGCCATCTCTTTGGCGTATGAACTTCCAGAGTATGATATTATGAATTACAAACTCAGAGATCCTATGGCTAATAAATTAGTTCATCAAAAGTTAGTCTTTTTGCCATAATTTTCTGTTTTTTGACAATTTGTTTAATAATTTGTATATATTTTAGACTCCTATACCTTTCATACTTTCAATTGGGATTCTTTGAACTGTTTGGAGGACTATTCACTTACGCTATAATTATGATTGAAAATGGATTTAATTTGAGTTATCTGTTTGGCCTAAGAAAGTATTGGGATTCAATTGGTGTCAACGATCTGATGGACTCTTATGGACAGGAATGGGTGTGTTTTGAATTGATGGTTGCAATTAGCTTATAGTGTCAATTTAACAAACATGTTACAATAATTGTAATAATTATTGCAGACATAATATTTATAGATAGACAACTTGTTTGTTATTAAACTTATTATTTGTAGGAATAGAGTAATGTATGTTTTTACGAATATAGACTTATAATGATCGAAAGACATTGGAATATACCTGTCACACAGCATTTTTTGCATCCGTTGTAATCACCAAATGGTCAGCACTTATCTGCTGTAAAACTAGAAGAATATCTATTTTAAGACAAAAAATGACGTAAATTACATAATTTTCAACAAAAAAGTTTAAAATCATTAAAACTTAAACATTGTTATTAACAGAAACGATGTTTTGACGTTTTCATTGTTTTTCGAGTTGGGTTTAGCCGTGTTTTTGTCCTATTGTCCCGGTCTGGACAATTCAACAAAAAAGTTTAAAATCATTAAAACTTAAACATTGTTATTAACAGAAACGATGTTTTGACGTTTTCATTGTTTTTCGAGTTGGGTTTAGCCGTGTTTTTGTCCTATTGTCCCGGTCTGGACAGAGGAATGTATTTATATCCTCTAAAGTGAGAAATACAATTGACATATGATATGATAAGACAACACTTTATATTAACAAAAATGGTGTCTTTTTATAGATTCTTCTGGTGGTTCTGTTCCATACCTTTTGCTGTATTAATGATTATTTATGATGAATTGCGACGATATTTAATAAGACAGTATCCTAACGGTTGGGTTGAAATCGAGTCCTTTTATTAGTTTGCATAATAATATTATATTTTATATTTATTTACTTTTCATTATTTACAAAATCTGATATAATTAGAGCATTTGTATTACATTAATAATGTTAATATTTACTAATTACTAATTAGATAAACTGAATTATACATTGAATTAATAAATGCTTACAAAATTCTAAATATTAAAAAGAAATATTAAAAAAATATTAGATCACATTATATTAAAAATATAGACGTCAAGCAATTTCATTAATAAAACCTATTGAATATAATCTAAAAACTCATTATTTGTAAAATTAAAGGGAATATTCATATGCGAAGAATTGGCTATTGTTTTAAAAACAACTCGTTTATTCTCATCTAATGTTTTCAAACCTATTAAATCATTTTTATATAAATTAGTTTGAGAATAAGGTATTAAAGTAACTGCTTTTGTATCCCAATAACCAAATGAGGTACTAATTGGAGGTAAAACAATGGACTCATTTTCAAATGATATGATAACCAAACCCTTTAGTTTTTCTGATAAATATTTTCTATTATTTTCATTTGAGTTCTCATTATTAATATTGGATAAAAATGTTGTCTTTTGTATGGGATTTGCGGGTGAATTCCAATACGAGGAAAATGATAGCACGTCTGAAAAGCCATAAACAAACACATCATAGACAGAGGGGCCCGAGTCTGATGAGGCCAGCGTTGATTGCAATAGATTGCAGCCAAACTTTATTAGATTATTGTTAGAAATCAAATGATTGCAGTCAGGAATGCCATATATGCCACTATTAGGTCCGCCAAATGTAATCAATTTGTCTATTTTGCTCNTGAGGCCAGCGTTGATTGCAATAGATTGCAGCCAAACTTTATTAGATTATTGTTAGAAATCAAATGATTGCAGTCAGGAATGCCATATATGCCACTATTAGGTCCACCAAATGTAATCAATTTGTCTATTTTGCTCACAACTGAGTCCAGACAAGTGCTCCAGAGGAGGGCCCTCATGAGGAGAGCGCCCTGAGAACAGCCAACCAATTGAATTCGACTACAATTCTGTTGCAATTCATTAATTGTATAATTGTTTATATAATTGCATAACATTTGCA